GGCTGGTGGAGTGGCTCAAGGTGTAAGTTCAAACCCCAGCACCGCTAATAAAAATAGTAATAGCAACTGAAGCGAAAAGGGCTGGGATGCACTTCAAGTGGTAGAGTGTCTGCCTAGCAAGATAGTACTGCCAAAACCCAAAACCCAAAACCAAAGCACTCACTGCTTAGTGAGCGGCGTTGGCGTGTCACTTGACACACACCTTTGTGGAGCTGCTGGCTCAGAGGGTGTGGATGCCCTGCTGCACTGGGCATTACCAAAAACACCGCCAAAGCCGTTGGGTCAAGGCGTACAGGCAGCGTCCAGGGCTGAAGCTGGCTCACACCCGTCCCCCTGAGTGACCGCCAGTCCTTTGGACCTGACAAGCCCAGCTCCTGTGGAGCAGGCGGGCATGACGCTGCCTGAGTTTGAGTCCTCAGTGGGTGATCTTCAGAGATGGAGGCACAGCTCAGTCTGAGTCCCTTGGGATCGATCTCCAGCACTTAAAAAAATATGACCTTCACCAAAGCCTGTTTCCTGGTCTGCAAAATGGGCTTAGAGGCGAGGCTCTAGAGACATGGCTTAGGTTGTAGAGCACCCATGTCACAAGCGCCAAGCCCTGAGTTCAAACCCCAGCGCTGCCAAAAAAAGTCACCAGGCAGCAGGACACGGTGGTGAAGGCCTAGGATCCCAGCGCCTGGAGATTGAGTCAGGGGGATCTTGACGTAGCCTGGGCTACGTAGTGAGACCCTGCATATATAATAATAATAATTAATAATAATAATAATAATAAAATAGTGCTAATAAAATCACTAGCTACCATGAATGTCCTGATCACCTGTGGCTCATGAGTGGTAGCTAGTTCTCATGACAACACTGTGGACCATTTCAATTCTTTGTGCCTCAGTTTCCCCTTTTGAAAATACTAACACACCCACACTGTGGGTACACAGTTGAGAGGATCACCAAAACATGGAATTATTTATAAAAGTACCTTTTTTTTTTTGGCAGTACTGAGGCTTGAACTCAGGGCTTTGCACTTGCAAAGCAGGCGCTCTACCCCTTGAGCCACACCTCCAGTCCATTTTGCTCTGGTTATTTTGGAGACAGGGTCTCAAGAACTATTTGCTCGGGCTGGCCTTGAACTTTGATCTTCCTGACCTCTGCCTCCTGAGTAGCTGGGATTACACACATGAGCCACCAGTGCCCCACTACAATTAAAATATTATAAATTATGTATTTTTATAAATCATGTAGTATAATTAATACATTATAAAGTTGGTCCTTATTCAGTGGTTCTTGGTGTACATGGAGTTGTATAACACTCCAAGACATGTGCCATCAAAAAATTCCACAAGTGTTATCTCTACAGAAAGGAATCCCATACCCATCAGCCATCATTCCCCCTCCCTCATTCCCAGATCCTAATACTTAATTTATCTTTTTTTATTATTATTATTTTTGGCGGCACTGGGATTTGAACTCAGGGCCTCACGCTTGCTAGGCAGGCACTCTGCTGCTTGAGCCATGCCCCAGGCCCAGCTCTTGGCAATTGCTATCTACTTTCTATCTCTGTGGATCCCAAAGTGGCAAGCAATTGCTTTTCTAAATTTTTTTTAACTTTTGCAAAAGTAAAAATTAAACGTTCCAATGTATCACTTCTAGTCTGTACAACAAAGTCCAGAGTTGTTGGTCAATTAATGTTGAGACGCGTCTCCCTAAAAAAACTAAACGCTTAGCACCGAGACAGGTACGTAAGAGACACTTTTATTTGAGGCAGGGTCTCGCTATGTAGTCCAGGTTGGCCTTGAACCCAAGGTGTTCCTGCTTCAGCCTCCCCAGTGCTGGGATTCAGGTGTGCTCTGCTACACCCAGCGTTTTATGTTTGTTTGGTTTTTGATTTTTTTGAGACAGCATCCCTCTCTGCAGCCCAAGCCAGCCTTGAAATCATGATCCTGGTGCCTCGGCCTCCCCAGTGCTGGGATTATAGGTCTGTGCCACTGGGCCTGACCATAATATGCACTTACTAATTTTTTTCAACCAGAAACCTGTGGCTCACACCTGTAATCCCAGCTACTCAGGAGGCAGAGATCAGGAGGATCATGGTTCAAAGCCCACCTGGGCAAATAGTTCTCGAGACCCTATCTCGAAAAGCCCATCACCAGAAAGGGCTGTGGAGTGGCTCAAGGTGTAGCCCTGAGTTCAAGCCCCAATACCATACACATAAAAAAAGTTAATAATTTTTTTTCTCTGTATGCAGGAGTGCTTATGGATAGATGAAGGAGATGAAGAATGGCTAAATGGATAAATAGAAGGGCAGAGTTAGCCTAATAGAAAGGTGTAATATAAACACATTCATTCAACAAACACTTATTTACACATTCGCATTTGAGGGAAAATTGGGTTGCAGAAGGGATAAGATGTGATTCTTGCTTTCTGAAAATTTTAGTGGGAAAGAGGCCTTGCCACACCTGAAAAGGAAATCAGACTGGTAACTGATTGGATATTAACCTGGAGAACTCAGGGAAAATGCCCTTTCCTGGCTGGGCGTGTGGCTCAGTGTGCAAGGCCCCAGCACTGGAAAAAAAAAAAAAGAAAAAGGCCAGAGGTGGCCCTTGAAAGATGGGCAAGGAGGAGCAGTGTGGGGAAGGAATCCTGAGAGCCAAGACTGGGAGGCAGGGAGGACATGGTGTCGGGAGGGGCCGCTTGTTGGTCCCACACCTCTGTGGACCATGAACCAGACTTGTTTATTTGTGAGGCTGTGACCTTGGGGCGGCCAAGTTCGTAGGACACGTGGGGAATATGGTGAGAGGTGAGCCAGGCCAGCTAGCACCAATCCTGTGCTGCCCGACATCTGGGCAAGCTACTCTGAGCAGGCTGTGTCATGTGTCACCATGCGAGAGATTAGAATTTGGGGACATCTTCAGTGCTGGTGTGAATTTCACAGGCAGGACTTGTGTTTTCAGTGCTGAGTTCTCCAAAGGCCCCAGGAAGGGCAGAAGAGGTCAAAGTGGTTGCTGAGGGGCTGACGATGGCTGGGGAAGGACTGCCATGAGGGAGAGAAGTTCTTGGACTTCTTCCACCTCACCCACTCAGATCCAACTCAGAAAAGTCTCTGGGACAGATGAAGATATGGCTGAGGCTTTTCTCCTGGGGACTGGAGGCCTGGGGGGGAGTATGCTGGGGACTTGGGGATGCTGTTAGCAGAGACTTTGAGCCAAGGGTGGTGGAAGTAGCTGGGACCCTAAGAAATCACTTCTATAAGTGGCAAGACAGAGTCCCAGTGGGACCAAGTCACAGCAAGGATCAATTAGACCACAAAAGCACTCTCCCTGAACTAGGACCCCAAGAGAAAGCAGGAAATGGAAACCCTCTTTCCTGTCCAGCCCCACAATGACCCACAGCTTTTCTTAGCATCATGGCCCATCCCCCAAGGCCCTGAGTGGGGGTCCAAAGACCCTAGGACATAGTTCTGAAGCAGGGACTGGCCTCCAACTATGATCCTCCCAATCTGCACCTCCCTAGTAGCTGGGATTACAGGCATGAGCCACAGCCTCTAGCCTGTTTTGTTTGTTTGAAACAGGGTCTCAATATGTACTCTGGGCTGGTCTGGAACTCGAGATCCTACTGCCTCAGCCTCCCAAGTGCTAGGGCTGCAGTCCTGAGCAAACATGCCCAGCCTTAGGGTGGGCTCTTGGGGCCCCCTCCAAATGTGTCAGGGACAGTCAGGGAGAATGCATTCCCAACAGAGATTAGCAGAGGACTAGAATAGGAGAGGCCCTGGTGGCCCTTGGAATGCAAGGTGACAGAGGGTACCCAGCTAAGGGAGGTGAGCAGAAGGGCTAACTTGTGAGTGAACAGTCTCAACGAATTATTTCATTCCTTCAGCCAGTTCCTGGGGGTACTGCCAAGTGTCTTCCTGGGCTGTGTAACCCCGCCACAGGCTCTAAGAAAGTGCTGTGTGTGGCCAGATGTGTGGCTCAAGTGGTAGAGTGCCTGCCTAGCAAGGGTGAATCCCCGAGTCCAATCCCCAGTACTGCCAAGGCAGTACCACTCTTAAAAGGCCACCTCCATGGCTCCAACACAACCCGCTCCTGTTTCTCTCGTGATCACACACAAGAAGCACCCACGGGCCAAAGCAAGCGAAGTTAGCATTTGTCCCAACCTTCTCCCACTAGGGACAGCCCTGGGTGGAGTGTGGAAATCTAAACCAGGACCTGAGATACTTGGGTGTGTTTTCACTCTTGTGTACCTCTGAACCTCACCTTCGAGGACTGTTAAAGACTCCGGTGAGAATGAAGTGACAACTGTGAATGTCTCATCCTAGTTTCTGGCGCTGGGGGGTCAGTGAGAGGAGCAGAGGGCCTGACTGGGGTGATAGCCAGGGGAGGGTGACCAAGTCTCCACCTGCCGGTCAGCCAGCTGTCACCACTGGTGACAGTCCCTCAGCGCCTCTCAGGATTCACACTCAGGACCACACCTGAAACTCTGCACATAGCATAGCAATAATATAGGTTACTGTAAGTGCTAACAACTTCTCACCAGCCAGGCCTTGGCGGGCATCGCCAATGCCACCTGCGTAAGACTCCTGAAAAGATGGGGGTTTCCAGCTGGGTGGATGACCAAGAGGAGGTTAATGTAAGCAGAGCAACAGGGGAAGGCAGGAAGAAGTTAGATGAGGGGAAAAGCGACCCCAGACCACAGCCATTGATGCGCTTTTTAGGCTCAGGGGTGACAGGAGACCCTTCTTTGGGGCGAAGCAAGGGCGGGTCCATCAGGACTCCAAGAGGTCACAGCAGAAGGGAAGGTGGGAAGGGACCTGAGGGGTGGGCGGCCCGCAGGCTCACACCCGGCTCATTGATTATGCAAGCGAAAGCCCCGCCCTGTCGGGCCCGCGCCCAGGGAGTGAAGAGTCCCCGCCCACTCTAATGACCTATCAAGAATCAGGGGGCGTGGTTATGTTAATAAGGCACAGCTGGCCACTTTGAACGCTCATGTAGTTCTCCCAGCGCAGGCGAGGCAGCGTCGCAAGTGGCCATGGCCCGGGCGCTGGCAGGTCTGGCCGCGGGCTTGCAGGTCCCCCGGGCCGTCCCCAGCCCGGACTCGGATTCGGACACAGACTCAGAGGATCCGAGTCCCCGGCGCAACGCGGGTGGCCTGCTCCGATCGCAGGTCATCCACAGTGGACACTTCATGGTATCATCACCGCACAGCGACTCGCTGACCCGGCGGCGCGACCAGGAAGGGCCTGTAGGGGTTTCCGACTTCGGGCCACGCAGCATCGACCCCACTCTCACCCGGCTCTTCGAGTGCTTGAGCCTGGCCTACAGGTGAGGGTTGCTTGGGAACCCGACGGTCCCGGTTCTCGGTGGCGGGACCGCGCGCTTGGTGCTCCGGACACTCCCCACGCGAACTTGGTCCCCCGCTGCTCCCGGCCACAACCTTGTCTTTCATCCCCATCCTCCAACCCTGAGTGTCCTCGGACCCTGGCCCAACCCACTGACACCCCCCCATGGATATGTGCCTTCCTCGGCACCATCCTCCCCTCCCCCTAGGGCGCACCTAGCCTGCCCAAGACCTCTACCCTATCGGGCCTCTCTCCCTGGTTCCAGCTCCTTTGCCCCCCTAAGAAGTGCCTGGTGTACCTCGCACTCCCTGGACCCTAGACCATCCCCCTCATCCCCCCGCCCCCTGCTATTCCACCCAACCACTTGCGGCCCTCCACTCCGTCCCCAGCAACCCCAGCCACCCCAGCCGAACCCCACTCGATCCCTTCATCCTGCAATACTCCTAGCGCCCAGGGTTGTCCCAATTCAGGGGACCTGTCTCTCATCCATCTCTCCACCCCCCCCCACCCTCAGTTGCCAGGACACCTCTTCTTGACTTGCTAGGTCAAGGGTGGTGGAAGGATGGTGTGTCCCAGACTGACCCAGAGAGGCACTGCCTGCAGAGGGTTCCCGGCCCAGGCCTGGTAGAGGGTTCCAGGGGCGGCGCAGGGCTGGGGCGAACCGGGTCACCTCGGGCGACCGCGCACCTAACGCAGCCCTGGGACTCTCGGCGTTGCGCGTCGCGTTGCAGAGTGCGCAGGCCGCACCCGACTCCAGCTCCACACCCGTGTCCCCGAGGAGGGGTCCTGGCCCAGTGCCTAGAGCAAAGTTCCCGGGAACGGAGGGGCCAGGATAAATTATCAACCGAAAACAGTAGGGGAGAAAGGGGGATCGGCCGGCCTTGATCTTTTGATGTGCAAATATTCCTTCTTCTCCGCGGCGCCTCCTCTTCTTCAGAGAACCGTTGGTTGCAGACAGGCACCTGTGGCCCGGTAGGGGAGCGGGTGGGGTTCGCGGACTAGCGTGGCCTGCCTAGAGGCCACCAAGCCATGCGACCCCATTGGCTAGAAGCAAAGTAACCTTGGCCCACTTGTTCTGGCCTCGGGCCCAGGTCATGTTGCAACCTGATCGTCCAGGGCGCCTGACTGATGTGGAAAGTTCAAATTCCCGTCTCTTTTCTCCCTCCCCCGCCCCTGGACATCACGAGACAGCCTGGGAACCGGGGCATCTAAGGTCCTGGTACACTGGATGTGCCCCCCAAGGTCTCCCAAGGTTCTCCCATTTCCTATCCACTCCCAACTTTGGCTTTCTGCATTACACTACACATCGCTCCTATTGGCTGAGCCACCTCCGCCTTCCACTCCGGAGGATGGCCAAAAGGGGAGGTTATAGGAAGGTGGCAAAGTGAGGGACAGAAAGGGAAACTGCTCCCCTAAAAGGCTGATTGGAGGTTGAAATAACCCTGATTGGAGGTAGCTAGGATAGAGAGGGCTGTGTTTTGTCCCCAAAACCCCAAAATGTTAAGTCTCCCTGGCTGGTCCTGGGTTGGGGTCCCGTACTAGGGACAGGAGAGGAGCCTTTAGGTTTGCACATCTAGTGAAGAAAATAACTGAAGCCCAGACTGGGGCACTGTTTTAGCCCTCAAAGCTGGGTGCTGGTGGTCCTTCCTGTAATCCCAGCTACTCAGGAAGCAGAGATCATGAGGATCGCTGTTCGAAGCCAGCCAGGGCAAATATTTCTCAAGACCATATCTCGAAAATAAGACATTACAGAAAATGGCTGGTTGGTGGAGTGGCTCAAGATGTAGACCCTGAGTTCAAACCCCATTCCGGCAAAAAAATAAATAAATAAACCTCCCCTCCCCCCAGTTATAGGGATTCCCTAGAGGAGTGAGGGTTTTGGAAGCCAAGGGTTCCAGGGGAGTGACAGGACAGGAAGAAACCAGCCAGGCAGACTTAGAGGGTGATGGGTAGAACTGGTCATCTTGACAGGGAGGACAACCTGTAGAGGTCTGATCACCTCCCACCCTCCTCAGGGCAGTGTGGGCACAGAGAGGACTTATCTAGAAGCCTATGTTCCTGGTTCTGGTTGTGGAAGCCCCAGGGAGGGAGAGTGCAGACTTCCAAGAAAGCACTTGTTCATGGTCAGAGGTGGCCTTGGGGATGTGGGGGAGCAAACAGGACCTGATTAGGGGTACACTAAAGGGAATTCCTGCGTGTGGGAACTAAGTGCTAATGTTTGTCCCATTCCAGCCAGGGCTCGGTGGTACACACCTGTAATCCCAGCACTTGGGAGGCTTAGGCAGGAGGATCTTGAGTTCAAGGGCAGCCTGGGCTACACAGTGAGACTCTGTCTCAGAAAAGAAAAAAAAAAAAGAAACTCCCCATCACAGAAAGCTCTTGAACTTTGGCCTCAGGTTTTTTTTTTGCAGCAGGCTAGGCTCCTCTCCACATACCTGAGTAACCAAGTCCTTTCCTTGGGGCTTGGATATTGTCACTGTCTCATCCTCCCTCCCCTCCAGTCCTGTTTAGGCCACAAGCCTCAGCAGGGAGATGGAGGAGAGGGGGCAAACAGATGAGGGGTGGGACACTGGATGATCAGAGTAGGCTGAGAGGTTGCTGGGATACAGACAGAGACAACAAATCCAGGAGTTCCCCCTTAGGTGCCACAAGAGAAGCTGGCCCAGGAGGGGTCAGAGTCCCTACCCTCCCTTGGGTCCCCCGAATGTCTCCTTACTGGACAGATGGTGTTTATCTAAGTAATGCACCCTGTTTGGGTAATGAGGCCTGGATGACTGCCCTTCCCCTTACCTGGCAGCCACCACCACCCCAAAGCAAACACAGGAGCTTGGAGACCAGAGAGAAGAGGACCCAATGGCCTCTGCTTCAAGACACTTAAAGGAAAATCAAAGTGCTACCCACCCCTCACCCCCAGGATGCAAGAGGGGGCCCCTGCAGAGGGCAGGCCTGGCTTTCTGGAAGGCTCAGCCTTGGGAGCCTCCCCATCTAAGCAGCAGTGAGAGGTGGGCCAGAGAGGCTTGTCGACAGACTAGCTTATAGACCATGGGGAGGGCGAGCAGCAAAGGCAGGGGTCTAACTCCCTGAGCATTTTGGCCTGATAGGTCAGCTTCTCAGTAGTGACAGACCTGGCCTGTGTCCAACAAGACCCCAAGAGTCAAGCTGTCACCTGTGTAGAGCCCCTTCATTCTATGGGCTTGGTGGACAGCTCCACTGCCGTCCTTTGGGCCCTGATGGCACGCCGTGTTTTGACACCTGTATTTCCCATTGAGCCCATCATGAGCCATTGTGGGATTGTGGACAGCAGAGACCAAAGGGACAGTGAAAAGCAAAGATCAGATGCATGAAGGCCATCCCTGGGGCCATCCCTTGGATCTAATCGACACCAGTGAGACTGATGGAAAAAAAGTCACAGGGCTCACCTAAGTCCTTACACGTGACTTGTACAAGTCTCATAAACACCATTCCTTTCAGTGAGGGTGGCACTGGGATTTGAACGCACGATCTTGTGCTTGCTAGGCAGGCACTCTAGCACTTGAGCCATGCCTCCAGCTCTTTTTGCTTTATTTTATTTTTCAGATAAGGTCTTGGGCTTTTGCCCAGGCTGGCCTCAGACCACAGTCCTCCTACCTCTGCCTCCCAAGAAGCTGAGCTCACAGGCACACATGATCATGCTCAACTCGTTTGTTGAGATGGAATATTGCTAACACTTTTGCCTGCGCTGGCCTGGAACCTCCATCCTCTTGATCTCCGTCTCCCAAGTAGCTGGGATTATAGGCACACACCACCTTCCTCTCCTGAAGTAAGAAAAGGGTCTGAGAATTCTCCCCAGCAGGCCTACAAGACTCTGTCCTGTGAGGCCACAGGACATGGTTACATTGTTCTGAAGACTGACCTGATAAACAAGTGCCTGGCTTTGGCCCTGGTAGTAAATTAACGAGCAGGCCTCTTCAGAGAACACAGGACAGGGGCCTGGAGGGCATCTTCAGGGACAGGGTAGGAATTTCAGGCAGGGGAGATGAAGGGAAGGATTTGGGGACCCTCAAATTCCAGCCACAGATGAATGCTTTGTGTGTGGGAAGCATGAGGTGGGGTCCTTACAGAAGTCCCCCTGTCTTCCCCTTCCCTGCCCCCCCCAACAGTGGGAAGCTGGTCTCCCCCAAGTGGAAGAACTTCAAAGGCCTCAAGTTACTCTGCAGAGACAAGATCCGTCTGAACAACGCCATTTGGAGAGCCTGGTACCTGCAGTGTGAGTGGGTCTTGCCCCAGCCAGAGGATCCCGTGTGGGGGAGCGGGGCTGGAGGGGTCAAAGTCAGGGCCAGGGCCAGCAGAATATTGCTGACCTTATAGGGAGACCAGGCACCCAGCACTAGGACCCCTGAATGGCTTCTGAGCTTCCAGAGGGTCTTGGGGAGAAGACGCCACCCTGGGAAGTACTAAGGTGCTTAGTGCTTAGTGCTGAGGGATCAGCTCAAGATCCATTGTGCATTCCGAATGCCATAATGAGGGGATTTTGAACACCATCTGAGCTGGGCGCCAGTGGCTCATGCCTGTAATCCCAGCTACTCAGGAAGTGATCAGAGGGATCATGGTTCAAAGCCAGCCCAGGCAAATAGTTTGCAAAACCCTATCTCAAAAAACAAAAAGGGCTGGTGGAGTGGCTCCAAGGTGTAGGCCCTGAGTTCAAACCCCAGTACCACAGAAATAAACAAAAAAATCTGGAGAAACTGAGGAAAATCTTTTCTGAACACTCAGCAGGTGCCCACCATGAAGATTTGGGTAGAAAGGGCTCAGGAAGCCCTGTGAAGGAACTGGGGATATAACTCAGTGGTAGAGATCATCCCAAGCCCCACAAAACAAATAATAAAATAAAATAATTAAGAAGAAGCCATGTGGTATAGCAGAAAAGACCCTGGACTTAGAGGTTTCCCAATCTGTCTCTGCCCCCTTGCTGGCTGTGTGACTTCAGGCAAGCTGCCTAACCTCTCTGAACCTTTTTCTTTATCTCTCAAGTGAGGTCAGTAGTCCTACCTTTCACAGGTAAATGATATACCCCAGGAGGTCACACTCATTCACTTGGGAACAGTTCCTTCTGCAGCAGGGTGAAGCTGAGGGGACTTGGACCAATCTGCCTGGAGCTAAGGGACTGTTCCCAATCAGTGAGGCCCGGCTGCAGGATCAAAGGCTTCACTGAGCTGGGGACACACAGCCCAGGAGGGACACCAAGGTATTCATACAAACCAGCCCCAACTGGATCCCAGCCAAGAAGAAAGTGTTGCTTGACGGTCTGTATGTCAGGCACTTGCATAAATCATGCCATTCAAGGCTTCCGAGCCCCCATTTATGGAGGGGCGCCAGAGGCTCAGGAAGGCGAGTGACTCATTCAGGCAAGTGAAAGGTTGCAGAGCTGCGCTGGCTGGAAGCACAGAGGTCCCAATTCTGGGATCCAGATGGCTTCCAGGTCTCTCCTGAGAACGTGCAGGTCACCCCTAGACAGAGCCTGAGGTTTTCAGGACAGTGGGAGCTAGGAGCCTTTTGGATATCTTCTCTGGATTCCTGTCCTTTGTCCCCACTAAACTAGGAAACTGAGAAGCCAGGGAGGCACGGGTGGGGGGGTATCTCCCCACTCCGGGTTTCTCCTTCCCACCAAAGCTGGATGGGTGCAAACTTTTCACTCTACAGAAGTTTCTTTCTTTTTTTCTGGGGGAGAGGGCAGGGAGGGTTTGAACTCAAGGCCTCACACTTGCTGGGCAGGTGCTCTACCACTTGAGCACCTCCGCCAGTCCTTTTATCTGTTGTGTATTTTTGAGATAGGGTCTCTTTAACTATTTGCCAGGACTGGTTTCGAACCTCGATCCTCCTGATCTCTGCCTCCTGAGTAGCTGGGATTACAGGCATAAGCCACTGGTGCCTGGCCAGAAGTTTCTGATGACAACTGAGGTGTGCTGCACGCCCCCCCCCACACACACACCCTGTCCTCACCTAGACAGACTCTGGTCTCCAGCTACTGCAGAAGTTGTTACTGCTGGGAAAGATTGGGGGCATGGCTCAAATGGTAGCGTGCCTGCCTAGCAAGCATGAGGCCATGAGTTCAAACCTCAGTACTACCAAAACAAACAAAAAAAGTTGCCAGAGGGACCAGAGGTCCTTCACACACCCTGGATGAGCTGAGGCCCACTTATCCGTAAAACTGGAACCATAATAGGTGCCATGTCAAACCTGGTGTATTCTCTAAGATGGCCGAAGTCTCAGCACAGAGCCTGGTGCTTGGAGGTTCCCTGGCCATGGGCAGCTGGGGTTGACCATTATTATTGTGACACAGTGGCAGCATGTGGCTGGTTCTTAACAAACATCAGCCCTCCCCATCCCCCAGCACCAAAGGGTTGAAGGTGGTCCTGCAGGATGTCTCACCTGAGCTTCAACCATCATGGCCCCTGCCACCCCTCTGCTGTCACCTGCTCCTTTTCCTCTCCTGACTGCCATGTGCTCTGTCATCCTCTGGGTTTCCTGTGGGCTCCCAGGGCACTTTGCACCTCTCCTGGGGCAAGAAGGACTTTCTACCTAGCATTACCTGCCAGGTCTTTGTTTGCCTTCCTTATCTCTCTGCTGTTCTGTGAGCAGCTCTGATGCTGTCCCCTGTCCCAGCATCCATTCCTCAAAGGTGCAAAGGGTCAGGCAACCAATGACTACTGCATGGAGGAACCTCCCTTTGTTAAACAAAGCCTGCCTCAGCTGGGTTGTCACAGCCCTCTGTCCAGAGCACCGGGTTTCTGGACTGGGTAGGGGACAGCCAGACTCAGCCCACTGAGCCTCTGTGTCCTTCCTATGTCTGTCCTGGGGTGCTCTTGTCCAAATATGGGAAGCCAGGTGACGTGTCCACACCCAAGGGTGGGTCCCTTTGTTTTCAGTCCCCACCAGGCTCAGCAATCAGGACCAAACCTCTCCTCTGATCCCCCGAGAGTGTTTCTTTTGGAGAATGTCGTTTACAGCGAGACTTTGGGACTGATGAAAAAGTCCTACCCAACTTCACGTTCCAGTGGTCTCCCTCCACTGTCTCATCATTTGAAGATACAGGAAGAAAGCTTCTAGGTCCTCATGGACTGTCCCCTTCATCAGGGTTGCCTCTTTTTTCTTGGGGGTAGGGGAGGGATCCTGGAGCCTTATGCATGCTAGGCCAGCTCTCCAATCTTGAGCTACAGCCAGAGCCTAGGATTGCCTCTAATGAAGGCCTGCTGTAAGCCAGGCACTGGCGGTTCATGCCTGTAATCCCAGCTACTCAGGCGGCAGAGATAAAGAGATAAAGACTGGTTCAAAGCCAGTCCTGGAACAAATAGTTTGGAGACCCTATCTCAAAAATACCCATCGCAGAAAAGGGCTGGTGGTCAAGTGGTAAGAGTAACTGCCTAGCAAGTGTGAGGCCCTGAGTTCAAACCCCAGTGCTGCCAAAAAAAAAAAAGAGAGAGAGACCAGAGTGGA